GTGCAATGAGACGGACGGCGTAATCGATCTATTCCCTTTCTAGCTCCATTTCAAAATGCACTTTCTCCTTGGATCTACATTACGTCCGTAGAAAACATTTGTATCCGTCGTTATAACGAATCCAATTAGTTCTTGACCACATACAAAACGATAAAAAAAACTTATTATCTACACTATTATAATAAAGCGTAAACACACACTTCTTTGTTGCCTAAGATGTCAGCAATTATAGCACATTTTTGAATAATTCTTTTCTTAATAAACAGGGCTACACTTACGTCACGCTTTGGATTATACATTTTCATGCCATTAAACTTAAGAGGGTAAATATTTGGGATAAAAACCCTAATGTAGGAAAGAGACCATAAGTTCCTGCCAACATCAAGGAAGCAAAATTGCCATTGTAAGGTAATTGGTACTTTGACATTTGCAATTGAGTATTTGAAGAATGTAAACAATAATATAAAGTTTTTATAATTCCAATCGGATGAAGCCGTACGGGAACAGCTAGTAATTAATAAAAATCCAATTGCGAGTGACTGTTAAGTAAATAAGAATCGATAGTCATAATACATACAAAACCTACTTTTAACAAACCAACTAGTCAACAAAAATACAAACTTTACAGTAGTCAGTTTTATCCTTCGTAGAGATATATCTTACAAACAGCAAGCTATAAGCAATCCTTTCAGGCTTATCACATATCGTTATCAGGTCCGGTACGCGCACGCCCGCTTCCAAAACCGCAATCCCGGCAGTACGACGACCCTGACCTTACTCCTTTTATGTTAAGCTAGCACTAAACCATGATCCCATCTGAAACATGTGATGATGCAGTCGAAAGATGGTACGCGGTAGCTCAATAAAAAGCTGTTTACTCTTCTTTTGAAGGCCTCCACGTCTTATTTGGGAGCAAAAACCCCTCCACTCCATTAAAAGCCAGTAAGTGCACTGAAAAGATCGATTTTACTATCGATCTAATTACGATATTAAAGCCAACATTTTACGGATACTTTATTTTCGATGTAACTCCAATGAGGAAATCTACTCTAATAAGGCAATAATCAAACTAAATAAAAAACAAAAGACATTCGTGAGTTCCTTAACTCTATTCGTATTCAATAATTTATTCTTAGATAAATATTGATGTTTTCCTAGTATATCTAATAAATTTCCCAACACTGACATGTTTGTAAGGAAAGAATGTATAAATTTTATAGTAATAAAAAATACGTCAATACAGGACCAAAATTTATTGAAACAAAATAGACGGAATAAATGTCTTCTAAACATGATTCATATTTAATAGTACTTATGTATAATTTATGTTTATAGCAAGGCCTATTGATATTAAATCTAGAATTATTATCAAACAACAAGCTACAAACAGTCTGCAATTGGATGGTGCTAATAGACTGCAAGTAACATAGCCAAGTCATAACTAGACCGAGGTTCAAAATTGCACCACAGCATGGGAACAACACGTAACAATTGAGGCATCATAGTGCGAGCATTGATTTTCAATGTCGACTACAAATTAGTCGGGATTTCACAACTTTTACTTTGTTGGCTTCTTTTGTTTTCAATGCCGAAACTTTAGAGAACCTTATTGCTGTCATCTCATTCCCTTTGTCAAAACAAAGACAATAATATTTCTGTTAAGAGACTAAAATCACTGCTACGATAAAATACAAGACAATATCTACTTTAATATTCTCATGGCGTTGAGCTTCTTTAAAAGTAACAGTGATAATTACGATATTTCAATTATTATAAATGCGATTGTTTGGATGGATGAATGTTTGATCGTAGTCTGAAAGAACACATACGCTACTTCCTAAGTTTTTTTAACTCAACACGAACGAAGACACGAGTAAAATCTATCCACATAAAGTACTATACATTCAAAAACCAGGCCGATTATTATAAAAACATTCTAGAAGTTTCAATAACATTTTGATATAACGGAATAATTATATCAATATTGATTGACTCTCGAGCTTATTATAAAGATAATCAAAATATAAAGCATCGGGCGATTATATGTAGAATAAAATACGGATACAACCAGTTATGACACGGCATCCATTGGTCGGAATGTTAGGAATCCTAAACACACCTCGGTATCGCCGAGACACAGATGCGTCTAGGTTATGCACACGCTACATCCGCTTCTTAATTTATATAAACGGCACTTAATACCAGTATATTAAATAAAAAAGCCATATTATACGAAGTCATAATTTCCTTCTTGGTAAAAGCAAAAAAATATTACGCGGAGGGGCCATGTGATATGAAAAAGGGGGGGAGATAACCGCCAGGAAGACTATTAATAACATATTGTTTCTATACACAATATTTCCATTTTTCAAAGATATATTTTAGTACAGGTGACGTTGAAACTATCATCAGTTAAAAAGTCGTTCTGGCTTTAGTATTTTTTTTACATTGCTGCGCCCTATGCAACTGTTTATAAGCAGTTTACCTTCGAATCTAAAATCGTATCACAGCGTAATATTTTCCATTTTAGGTTTGATCGATAAATCTGCAGCACAATTTATTACAGTGTACTAAGCAAACTATAATACAGCATAGAGTTTATTCTATCTCCTGTAAAGTAAAAATATCAGATGCAAGTAAATCATAAAACACTAAGCACATTTTTACTCTATTCTTATATTAACTTTTTGAGGATTTGGGTATTATTTTTATTGACACTTCTATATGTTTATAGGTCAACAATAGAGCACGTATTCGCAAAGCTGTCCACTGTCAACCGCTTGATGTCAATGTTTGTGAAGAAACCAGGTCACAGGCGACGGCCTTCAAGGTCTTGTTCATATGAACGTATTGATATTTTATAGTCATTTTCCTATAAGTCTTAAACATCTTGTTATCATAAGGATATTTGTTACGCAATATTAAGAAATTCAAGTAAAATCGTTTATTATCCTTAACCACGACCATATAAAATTAGCTCCGATAGAAATTGTAATTTAATAGTTACTTGATAAGCATTCTGACGCAGAAAGGACCACGACTTTGTTTTTTAAAAACAAACCATGTCCTAAAGTGGGACACATACCTTTCATGTTCTCTCGACATAATAAAAAGGACATAACATTTTATCGGCTAGCAACACGGACACATCCGGGTGGCAGGCGATGTCCGATAAACCAATGCGCCCAAAACCTCACGATTATACCATTATGTAATTTAGGCAGACAGACGCCGAAACCTGCGGTCCGGCGCCTGCGGGATGCTGCGGCCCTTACCATTGTACTAACTTAATTTGTAAACAAAAATTATAAAATGACCTTCACACTTTGACTCCGACTAATTACATTTTTACTCTTACAATTTTCGTATAAGCTGTACCGAAAGTTTTTTTTAAATCATTACTTTTGTAATATTTCGTTCTGCCATTAATATTAACTGTCTAATTTTAGAAGATATTTATAATTAATTGGATTAAACCATAAATTGCTGGAATAGTTTTAAAATAAATCAGCTGATAGTAGATATAACCAATAAGTTAATGTACTCGTACATATATAATTTACATAAAAGGTCATTGCCATGAATACTCACAGTTAACAGATTTAAGCTCTATTCTTCACGTTAACTGGCAAATCACAAAACTACACAAGGCAATCACATTTATATAGTTTTTATGGATTATTTTTAATGCAAGAAAAAAGTTTACTAATTCATTACTGATGATTAAACAATATGTTTATAAATTTAATGACCAATACCATTGGAACGTCTGTACACAGAAATAACATATTAAATAAATATATATTATTTGCTAGACCATCACTATATTACTGATATAACTTGTATATTTTGTAACATAAAATTCCAGTATAAATATCAATGCATACAAACTTCACACTGAACATACAAGCACACAAATAACCGATCGAGAACGAATCGAATCGATACAAAATCGAGATCCGTTAGTAGGGGTCGTTGTTGGCGGCAGAGTTATGAAGTGGTCAAACGGTCAAAGCCGAGCGCCGCGGTGTCGCGGAATGCGGTACGGACGCGTCTCGCCGACACCGAACTCGGCACAAACATGATTCCGAGAAAAGGACAACTAAACTCGAAACTCGTGCACCGGTACCACGACGGCGATCACAAACCCCCATCTTGGGGGAAACCGAAATTATTGACATTTTTCTGTTAACATGTCACATATACACATAAGTTAGCATGGTAATCAACACATAAAACGAAGAAGCTATACACTGCATACAGATGGGTCTTAATTCAAAAAGAATTCGCTGAACAATTGAAACCAAATGAACATGAATCATTGAGGGTCAACATGTGACGATAATTGCTTCAAAAATCGTAAACAATACCGCAGTAATCTGATGTTCGTAGCTGTATGATTGTTTTTATTTCTTTACAATTTTCTTGCTTACTAAAGTATAAGTGCTATAATAAATATACACATTAAATAGCACCCAGAATACGTGACTTAGTAATTGTCATATAACCGATACATCCGCGACTCGAGACGATACTACATTAGTAAAATATTCCGATCATCTTAAAACAGACAAACAGAGATATTAACAGAGGTCACTGAACATAACAAATTGTGTAGAAGTACTTAATTTTTTTTTTCTTTTTGACTGTGATCTGGAAACACTGTTGACTAACAAAGCTTATTAAAACAAGACTTTCCTCGACTAAATAAACTGGTCAATGGATAAAAATCTTTTCGTAGAAATTCCAATGAACCTTACATTATAACGTTTATCTACGCGGATGTAATAAGGCTGTCAATAAAAAAAACAAACCCCCAAACAAATGAGTCAAAGCGAGGAAATCCCTGACATTCTTCAACAGTGATCGTCGCAATGACAAGTTCAAAGGTTATTTCTCTGTTTCATCATATTTTGTTATTTTATATTTCACTAGCTTTCGCCCGCGACTCCGTCCGCGCGGAATTAAAAAAAGAAAACAAAATCGAATTGCCTATGTGTTCTTCCTGACAATCCTCTAAGTCCATGCCAAATTTTATCGAGATATGTCCAGCTGTTTAGGCTACAAACTCAAACTAACATCCATCCATCTAAACTTTCGCATTTGTAATATTAGTTAGATTATTCTCAGCATCACATTTAACTACCTAAAGCGTAAGTGGTAGCAGTTCTCCAGTGACCAAAAAAAAACATAAATGTTATACAAAAAAATGAACAAATACATAGTTTATACCAATGGTTGTTATGTAACAATATTTTATAGTTACAATAACGTATTTCACACAACATAATTGGTTTTACAGTAATAAAACTAGTGAGAAAGATTACTAAAACAAGTAAAGTTAAGAAAACAATTCACATCATAGAATATAAACATTCCGACGAAGAACACGAGAACTTTTTAAAACATTTCCACTAAATACAGACACTGCATTCTGCATGTTTCCATTGCCTAAACACATCTAAGAAAACATTACGCCAACCCTTATTTCCCAACATATTTTATACTAGCTATTGCTCGCGACTTCGCCCGCGTGAAATTAAGAAATAATAAAAACATAGCCTTTGTGACTCAGTGATAACGTAGGTTTTGAAATGAGTAAGAATTTTTGAAATCGGCTCAGTATTATGAAAAATACAAATCATTCCTCTTTATAATATTAGTACAGATATACTCTTTATAAGTTTAGGCAAGGGTTTCGTAAATTGAAACTAGTAAATCAAATAATACAAAACGATTCATAGCGTAGTTTCCTTTGGAATTACCAACCACGACCTGACTGCTATAATTAAAGCCGCAAAATTAAAAAATTAAAAAGTCAGGGAATAAAATATTTACAAAATAAAACGAAACAAAAACAATGAATCAAAGTACTCAGGCTGAGAACACGAGTGGACTAAAGTGTGTGACTAGTGAATTCTTACGAGACGACAAAAAAAGATCCGGGATCGCTCTTGAGATGAGCAAAGATTACGAGTGATTTTATCATATAAGAAAAAAATCATAAGGATTTATACACGTCACTATAAATAATTTGTCTTAACAAACACTGGCATAACATGGACTTTTGGCCAAGAGCTAAATATGTATCAGAGTCCACGGAAATATTTACAAATTGGATTATGTCCGACCTCTTTCAATAAGTCTATTATGGTAGTTAAATATGATTTAAACACATTACTCAAACTTGACAAATAGAAACCTATAATTATTAATATCTTATAAAAGCACAAAAACATTTTTGACTAAGATTAAAAATAAATTATACGCACTACATTTTTAAATATAAAAAAATCGAATAGAGACGTTTAAAAAATCTCACAGTATGTATCAACCCTAAATTATGCAAATCTGATCTCAGTTCCCGTTCTTGTCGACGGCGACCTTCCGAGGACGCGGCCGGTGTCGATGACTCGCGCCGCAACGACATGGGTCAGGCAGACGTAAACATTTCCAGCTGCTATAGTTTCGAGGAAGACAATATTTTTAGAATATGACTGTATAATTTATACCAATGGTCGGATTAACATTTAAAGCTTAGATACGATTTCAAAATCTTGATCAATAATAAAACATTTTGCTGAAATAAAAAGGAATACAAGTCATTGATTTCCCCACATAGCTTATTTGCATATAATGTAAGAGAAATTCAATTTATAGCATATTAGAAATTTAGTCAACTTTATCTCATTATGAAACTGCTCAGTAAATTAAACAACACTTTTATGAAAAAAATAAATAAAAACACAAAATTAAATATTGCCTACTCATAATTATTAACAATAATTTTGGTAATAAGGGCTATAAGCCAGGCTGGGCTAATATGTAAAAAAAAATATAAAAAAGATAATCATTATTTTTTAAAAAAAGTAAAGTATACTGTGGCTGGATCAAGCAAAGACGGACCTCGACACTAACAATAAAAATGAATTCACTGCAATATTTAAGTTAATCGACCTTTATAAAACGATTATAAAAACAACTAATAAAACACATTTTGGTATTTAAAAATCGAGAGCGCACAATTTTGAAAAACTTCACAATTTACCTACATTAGAACAAAACTATTCAAGTACATCACATCACGTACGCACTCAATACAAACAAGATGAGTACATCGCTCAAGTTTAATAAGTGACATCCGTTTGCAGGGAATCAGGGTCCTCCCATCGATTTCGTATCGATGTCGTCGTGGGTCTAAAAGCACGACACGCGGCGAGGCGGCGCGGGGACGACGCCTGCCTCTGTGTGCGTCGCCCACACGCCAGCGTCGCGGTGTGCGTGAGCGCTGCGCACGCGCTTACGGCAGAGTATTTACACCGGCGCCCCCTACCACCTCGGCCACTCATGCGCCGAGCAATCTACCGAACACACGTGCACCCCACCAGTGTCCGGCGCTGCGACCCCACGGGACCAGCGACACATTCCGCATCCGACAGCCGCCGCACCAGCCTGCTATGTGCCAGTGATCCCAGTGACATTAACAGTGAAGTGAACTGACATGTGCAATTAAGAAGTGCAAGAGTGTTTATCAGCCGCAGCCTCAGCCGTTATCAGTCAATGTAAGATATATTACATGCTTCGAGATGTTTATTATTGTAATGCATGTTAGTAGACGCAACTCAGGCCCCCGACCCAAATCTCACGGGCCGAGACCCGTACAATATATGACCGGTAGACAATGCTCGTATCGCGACACCACTAACTTAAAATTTCTCATAGCACAGCCTTCAGTGCAATACTCAATGACGCGACGTAGAGAAACACCTGTGAGAAAATACAAACAAAAGTGTTCGGCCGACGGATTGTCGTCGCTAGCTAGGCTACATACATATATTGCAATAATGCAAGCAAAGGCTAAACCGCGACCCCACGACATTTATCGTAAGCTATAGAGTCAGGGATAATGGAATGTTCTCGATGGTAATGAGCACTGCAAATATTATTCACGATATACTCGCGATGTGCTAATCCAAACCTACGCGACACTCGACCGCGAAGCGTATGTATTTCGAAAATATACACTTACGACTTTGATAATAATCCATTCGGAAATCGATTCAGCAAGCATCTTTCAGATCTGTGACTTCGATAGCGAATTAATAAGTGCGGTTTACGTTATTACAGTGTCAAATTACACACATACACAAGACGGAGTTCTTAACATTTTTTTTTTTTTTAAATAATGAATACAAATATTCTTAAATGTCGCAACACTAGCTTAGTCACTGCCATAAATATGCACTAAGTTAAAGACCGGCAAGTAATATTGACCTTTAGCGAGGAATGGTACAGGATGTTATAACGGGAGAGCGTATCTACGTGTAGACAATGCTAATTAACTAGGACCGGTACTCTTAGTTACGTGAGTCGAGCCTTCATTGACTAGAGCCAAATAGCAATTCTAATTTTGTTTAACGTCATTCGCCTCATCGAATTCCAAAGCGAGTTTTGACGAAAACATGCATATTAAAATATAAAACGTATAACATCCGCGTATTAAATATTTCACGGTAAAATTTGAACGCGCAAATCCAATCGATTCTGATCTTACGGACGAAAGTAGCCCAATAGGCGATGAAAGTCGAACACGGTCTTAACACAAATGACATAATACCAGCAGGTAACGAGTTGATATTACAAATAGTCGTACCAAAAACTCAATCGTGAGCATTTAACACAAAAAAACATCAAGGAAGTAACGATCAATAAACGAATAATTGTTACACGAACAAATCTTAGATCGTGTGAAAATAAATAATTCAAACGAGGACACGGCGAACGAGTGAGATAATAAAGTCGACAACAGGAAATCTACCTTAAAATACCTATAGAGTTAGATGCCGATATCGATAGGCAAATATCGTCATGAACTTATTGGCATAGCAATTTCCAATTCAACTCACTGCGGTTTGAGTCAATGTAAATCCGCAACAAATGTAATTGACTTGTACGAACGAAATGTATTCATTTTAATACACATACTTCATGTTTAATATTAGTTTTCATCGAGCGACGTGCAAAAACAACTATTTCTAACGTGTACACTTTTTCATAACATTACCGCTAGTATGTCATTAAAGCTTCGCCTCTGCGAACAAATTATATACAGAAAATTATACTTTAGAAAAAATACGAAAGCGACCGGTTTCTTTTACTGAATTGTATAGAAAATTTTCGTATATGTACAGACTTTGACCTCGCTCCAAATCATTGTGGGTTCCGAAAAATACGCTTTTTAACGCCCAGTCGTGTATTGCCAAATTAGACGTGAGCTTGCCGGTTAAACTCAATAACAATTGCGTTAAGAGATATCGGACTAAAGCCTGTTTAAATTCAATATAAACTATTTCTGCTTTCTATAACTAAACACTTATAGACAAAATTTGAACAAAAACAACTTCAGTTCTAAAACGATAATATAATGCTAATCAAAATCTATAATTTAATAATAAACATGGCATTAATAGAGATGAGAACAAAAAGCGAATACAATAAAAAATATTATAATTGTTTGATTCTAGTATAAGCGTGACTGCATGACTGCTATATTTATATTTCAATCTGATCGTATAAAGAATTTAGCTGGGATTTTACGCTATAGATAGAATCGAATGATAACCAAGATTACGTCACCTGACCGTATGTCCGTAAACAAAAAAACGCATCCGGCTAGGATGAGATGCGAGGCGATGTTATCAAACAGAGAAAAAAATAACCAAACTCAAAACCTGTTAGACTCGTCCAATTTCGAAGAGAGCAAGGCTGTAGATGGCTACAAACAATGTAAGCAAGAGTGCAATTGTCGCGCGAGCTAATCTAAACAATGGAATCTAAGAATAGAATGTAGACTTATCGCGAAAATGGTGAAAAAAGCCTTGTAACCCTATAACAAATGCCGGTTGCAAAGACAAATTACAAAACTGCGCCATTTAAATTCAGCTTTCCTCAAAACCGAGCGAAGGACTCCAGCTGTTAAGGTTGTCTATTCGCCACGCTCCGAAAACCACCAAAAGGTAGCCAGAGTGGCGGAAAACTTTTGAAATATATTGCACAAGTGACTCATATTAAACAATATGGAAATTACGAGCGACGATTATCTGATCAGTTAATTGGCGTTTACTTCATTCGAACGGTGCGAGGGATCCCCGCCCACCCATTCTACATGATCCAAATATTCACTTACCGAAGACCTCTATTAGATCATTAAAATTCTTACCTATAACAAAAGAAATTTCAATATTAATTACCATCATAAAATTTCAAACATTTATTTAATTTGTATTCTAACATCAAAATAGTTGTACATATTGAATAATGAATAGTACAATTCTCGTTAAGGAAGCGTGTAATTAAATTATCAGACGACAGTGGAAAGTTCAAAGCTAACGACGCGCCCACGATTTCTTTTCGCTTTTGTTCAAATCATGTGAAAACAACTAGACGTTTCGAAACTGCGTAATTGCTATTACGGCTCGTACATGAGAACGAATAATCGACCATTATATGGAAGATTACATACAATACGAGATGTGACCGCTTTGCAAACGTAACAATCATGAAAGTCACAACAATGAAAAGAAAGCAACGCTTACATAAAAAACTGTCGCATACAACAATAACAATAACAAAACATTACAAATTATACAAACGCTTTTATTTGTTTACAAAGACGTTCAGTTTCTTATTTTGTTCATACTACTTACAATATTTAACTTTTAATATTTTTATACCAAATATTCTAATAATTCAGCTACAAAAAAACCTTATAAACATTACAGCTCAATACGTTACGCAAGCTACGTAAAAAATAAACCTTGGGTTGAGTATAATAAATATCTACAATAGACACATGGAATAGTTGGAAACATTTGCCTGGCCCCGGGCGAAGGCGCGTGCCTACTCCATACCAGTCACGACACAAATCAGAGCAATTTTTTATAACTTGACCTTACTTTGCATACCGGTGCAGTGACTGAAACCGCGAAACGCTGACTATAAACATTAATAATTATAATTGTATAGCCGGAATTGAGATTGCGAAACCAGCATACATTTACCAATAAAAAAAATGACGAAACCTGTATATTATTATAAAAAATATATACACGTAACGAACTCTAACATGGATGAACTCGGGACACATATGTAATATAACCATACGAGTATATTCATTTAGTTAATTTAGTTTCTATCGTGTTAAGCAACCGTGAATTTAAAAACAAAAACTAATTAAGACAGATAATCTAAACTGATTAAGATGTAAAAGAATTAAACTCCCACATTAAAGATTACGAGATTGTTTGGAATTCTTATGAATTTATTAGAATAGCAGTGTTAAGATTTAGATTCTATGACGCAGCGAACTGAACAGGCTATGTAAGATGCGTTTGCCTTGACCCTTGGCGCCTTTGCGACAATAAGCCCTGACACTATTAGAATATATTTCGATCCATTCAGTGATTCTAAGTGATTGACGAACACGATAATTTACCCATTTACGCAACATCTATTGAGATTCATCAAGATTAAAAACTAATCAGACGCTCAGCGTGAAGGAATTAAATTGAATAGGAAAATAACGCTTTCAAAAAGTTCCATTCTACTACTTATTGAGATCCAATTCCGTAAACAAACATATCTCTTAAAAGACAGGCTGACAGGTGATTTAAAAACATTTTATGCGCTTTACATTCACCAGATATTATAAAGCAACAGTTCAAGGATTAAAAGATATCTTAGTCATACTGAACGTGGGTGCACTACTCTTTGTCTGTGAATAATTTCTAATTAACCGTGATTAATATAAATTCGTCCCGCCCTCGAAGTGACTCCGCGAATTATAATATAGAACAAGTCAAAGGACACTACTTCATGTGACTTTAAGTAAACGGCTCAATATAACCAACATGACTAATATCAAAAAAGGAAATATTGGATTTTTGTATGTATTCAAATATTTCAAAAACTACTGGACCGATTTATAAAATTCTTGCACCATTAAAAAGCTATGTTATGACTAGTAACATATTTATTTTCACTGTGATCTTTAATTTCTCGCAGGCGAAGTCGCAAGCAACAGCTAGTTACCAATAATAGGATTGATAATGACTAATTATCGCAAATATGTTAATGCGTATAGACTTCAGTTGGTAAAAACTGAAAGAGGAAAGCTGTACTATATATAGTATTGAATTATTTTTGAATGGGGTTCATTTAATCTTATTTTTTAATCTATAAATTGTCATGTAAAGTGACAGTCGTTGAAAACGCAACATGTTTGTGAAACCAACATGTCCTGTACAATCTGGCAGTAAATAAAGGCCATTGGAAAGTTAGCGGGCAGTCCGGCGCTCATTGAATACAAAATACAATACGAGACATTTCTCAACCTGCGCGACTTCAAAAGAAAGTTTTGGCATCTGTTACGAATGTGATTGACGTGAATAAAACATATATTTTAATTATTAATTAAAAATATTAAACAATCCATTAGAGCGTTAGTTAAAAAGCTTACAAGGTCGTAAAAACTTTGCAATCAATTAAAACTATGCAATTTTTATATCAGTTTTTAAACTACCAAGGAAAGTCATCACATACATACGTCAGAAACAATCTCATAGATTTTTACGAAGGTGAACAAGTATCGGAAATGAAAGGATGCTCAGAGATGCTTCGAGGCAAATGTCAAACGCGTTAACATTTGGTGTAAATCTACAAACTAAAGCCGCTGCAAATCTTGCTATAAACTATAGAGTACATCTTCATTACAGTCATTAAAATGTTAGATATTGTAACACCTTTAAAAATGAACAATGTGGCCATTTTCATTTGAAATCACAAGCCAGTCCTCACAATGTATAGCAAAAAGTCATACACTAATCAACCGATATTTTACTGCTTGAAAACCTTAAATAATAACATTAGTGATATATTGGAACCTAGTAAAACGATAACTTTGTACATAATGCAAGATTAACTTTATCTATTATATAGATGATACATCATTTTCTACTATTAATTTTTATGCTAATAGACTACAACTGTCTCAATATAATTGGTTACGCAATAACTGTTGCGGGGACATTTGAAGAAATTATTGCGGGCTTTATAAGGTCGATTTTAATGACACAAGTGTTATAGCACTTGTACTTAACTCTCATTAAAATTACTTAACTATAACCCGCTACTTCGTATTTTACATGTCTAATAAGTAAAATACAATATGAATAAAATTTTAACTAAGAATTTATGATTTCTATTGAATTTTAATGCACCATTGAGTTTTAAATTTTAGCTCAAAATATCAAGCGTGACTTGAAAACATTGTTACTTGGTTATTTTTTTATTAAATTGCACACAATATAACCATTCACCTATTACACTTTAGCACAATCGGTTCATTTAAAAAGTCAAAGGCCGCATAAATAATATTTCCAACGGTATACAATTGCAAACGATTAAATTGTTTGATACGTTTGGCATAGCAGTTTCGATTAATATTAAAATTGAGTGGAACGATTACGCGGCTCGTGTGGATATCGAAGGCGAAATCGAACGGATAAAATGCCTTTCACAGATCCAAGCACAGCCAATGCCTTCAGATATTATGACAATAGTTTTTTACAAATTTACAAGCCTGATCTCATTTCGTAATAACTCACGAATACGTTTATGCGAGTCTTTACACAATTTCCAC